GAGAACAATTACTTCCTTATGATTGATTTAAATTTGTTTCAAGTATTTTGTAATAATATTTAATCAGCAAATTAGATAATTTGGTTTTCGCCGGTTTTTACCAGTTTTTGCCACTGTCCTGGCAAAAACCCCTTTTTGCCGGCAAAAACTCCAACCCTGGCGTCAACCAACCCCAAGAGGGGGGCGATGGTCCACAAAAGGTTGAGAAATACTGGACTACACTTTCTACGCCAAATTCTTTAATTAAGATGTTTTTGTAGTAAGTAAAGAAAAAGAGTCAGGATGTCTGGAGATATTAAAATTTGAGGGGAAAATCTTTTAGGGATGGGACCGAAAATTTTTCTTCTTCCGGCAGTCTGGGGTTTGTTTTTACCAAATCTTTTTGCCGCTCTGATAACCGTGGATGAAATCTGATTCTAAGGATGAGCGGCAGAGAGCATCCTTGTTTGTCCAGCTGGTTCGCCTCTGTTCCCGATACATCGCAATGGTTGTTGGAAGAAAATCACCTAACAATCATTGATAATTTCATCCATTTTTTTTTGTTTCATTTCCTCTTGTAGTCTCCACTGGACTACAGAGGGCCAGCGGTTGTGGCTTAGAATCCCACAGTAGGCATGCATGTAACTTTCTCTGTGTCCTATTGTGTGAATATAAACCGCTCTATAAATGGGTTGGCGGTTGTATGACGTGGGCGGCACTTAGTAACAGGTGCCCACTGGGTGGCGGTAAGAGAGTAACAATTCAGAGGCTGATGGGAAATAGATCCAAGTGTGTCCGTCGTTTAAAAAAAAGAAAAGTTTCCTCTAGACGTCTTGGCAGGAATTTAGAGTAAGTATGTTTATGAGTTTGACTTTGTAACTTCAAATATCTTCTGTGCTAATTAAAATAGCGCATTTGAAATTAATTTTTTATTCAATTAGGATTGAGTCCCAGTAAGTGAAGATCTGATAACTAGATAATAAGTTAATCAGGGTGTTCCCTTTTTTCTTTTCATACTGTTAACACTGATTACATCACATCAGTATTCTTCTAGGTTATAAATTATCCATTAGTTTTATAACAATAGTAAAATGTCATTACCTTTATGCAAAATACTAAACAATTTGCTATTTGTGCATGAACCATTCAATAAAATACAAATAAAGAAAGATAAAATTATTCAAAACATCTCATAAAACAATGTTATCTCTAAAGGCCTGTTTATATGATCCAAGTTCTTGGACGAAGATTGATGAAAACTTAATTTGCTTTGAGCTTGGATTTAAACAATCATCCAAGTCCTTGAATGATAGTAGAGCATGTAATACTTTCCATCCAATTTTTCCTTAACCAATCAGCTTATAAAGTTTTGGGATGTCAACAAACAGACATCAGATTATCAGGGGTCTGTTTAGAAGAAATTTGGGTTTGTTAATGGATCCTTCACAAAAAATCTTTTCATAAAAACGGATTGATTATAGTTTTGTTAATCGAATAAACCCTTCCCGGGAGGGGGGGTGCGAGAAAGATAGATGTAAAGGAATTAAGTTCTGTCTTCCACAGACACTTCTTCCATTATTCGTCCGAAATTAATATTCTGTGTTCAGCAGTAAAGGCTAAATTCCAAATATTTGTATGTTGCATCTCTAACTTAGAAGCAGCAATTGCTGTTTATTTTTGAAAATTTAATTTTTTTCATTATTATAATTTTACAGTGCTGTGCATAATCATGTATCTATTCACAATTTAAAAACTCCTTGAAATTTTTTTTTGCAATAATCCTATTTGCACAAAATCATAAAAGCAGGACCTTGGCTGAAAGAATGTGACATAACGTTTATTTTATATTCACAGATTACGAGTAATTTTTTCACAATTTCATAAAAAACGGACCTTTCAGAAAATGTCTGGACCGACCCCTGATTATGTCATATTGTTGTCAGTTTTCATATATTTTAATCCAAACAAATTAATCTGTTAGGGTCTATTTGTGTCATTATGATTTTATTAGAATTTATTTAGATTATTTCAATATCTGATAATAGATTATTTCAATTAGATTTGATCAATAGATTATTTCAGTTCATGTAAATATAATTTTATAAAGTTTAATATCAACAATGTGCACGTTTTTCATCTGACCCAATCAGTGACAACTTGGATAGTGACGAACGAATCATCGAATTTCTTGAAGAGAGAAATTCTTCCAAGCTTTCGGATTCAAGAATTTGGACCGTGTAAACAGGCTTTAACTGATAAAAGTTTTTGTCCTACATTTCAGAAATAAAAAGAAAATAAAACCCAACTGAGGAAAATGAGTTACCTAAAGGTCCTCCTTTGGCAGCTCTTTCTCTTGCTTCTTTTAAGGCTTTTTCCTGTTCTCTTTGCTTTTGCTTGTAATCAGCATCATCCTAGAAGAGTCAGTACAAAATATAATAAACTTCTAGCAACCTTTAAGCAATCAAAAGTGAAATTTCTTTAACACTTCAAAAGTTGAAATAAACTGATATAATGTACAAATAATGCTTTGTCATATCATCAATTAAAGTATTTAAAAACAGAGACAGCAAGTTTCTTACAGAGTAGAAAAAACTGTCCCGGAAAAAGTAGGTTTTTTAAAACACTAATGACAGAATATCAGTTTAATTCTTCATGATACTTGAAAAGAACATCAATCACTTCCTCTACACATGCACACTCATATATTTACAGAAACCTTTTTGTAGAACATGAAGAAAGAAATTGATAGCAAGGATTGAATTATCCTTATTTCTTGAAACTCATCAGTTATAAAATTGATAACTAACAAATTAGGGTGGTCCCCATGGAACACTTTCATCAATAAAAGAAAATGAATGAATCAGGGCTTTGAATGATTTATTGGCCATATGCATGGTTTCAGAATTGTTGTTAGTTGTTTATTTTTAGCTCTGTTACTGACAGTGGCGTAGTTTTAATATATGTTAGAGGGCGTTTATCGGTCATTTCCTTTTAATTTATATTATGTCCCGCAGTGGACGGATCGAAAGGACATGGTTACCGGTACAAGGAATCAGGGCTTTGAATAATTTATTGGCCATATGCATGGTTTCAGAATTGTTGTTAGTTGTTTATTTTTAGCTCTGTTACTGACAGTGGCGTAGTTTTAATATATGTTAGAGGGCGTTTATCAGTCATTTCCTTTTAATTTATATTCTGTCGCGCAGTGGACGGATCAAAAGGACATGGTTCCCGGTACAACACCGAAGGCAATCATCACTAGCTATGGTCAGTAAGCGGGTGGGTAACAACTTTAATCACTTATATTTTTGTATGCATGATTTATATTTATCAAGTATATCATGTATCATGCATATTTTTTTTTTTTAAAAAATGATGCGTCTTTTGTAAGAGTTTTGCGGATTATCGTTGAATCTGCAGAGCCCCTCGATTATAATCGGGAGTTTACCGTAAAATTATTTATGTAGATTGAAGAATTGCATTTTTTAAAACTTTATACATATAAATAAATAAAAAGCATGAAGAAGTTTTAAGGAAAAAACATTCTACCCAAAAGCTATTTATTTCTTAAAGTCATTTATGTCATCAGGGGTCTGTCCAGGCCGAATTTACTACAGTTTAGCGGTACCTTCACAAATTCAATTTTAGGTAAAACGGTAGTTTCGCAAATTCAACTTTAGGAAACAAAATACTTTTTCTTAAAATTTTATTTTTGTATCCCTTAAGAAACGATAAATCCATATTTTTGTGCTGATTTTTAAATATAATTTTTCACAAATTATGTCTAAATTTTCACAAAATAGGAACCTCTCAGAAAAACCTAGACAGACATCTAATAGTTAATTACCACATCCTTTTCAAATATAGTTCTCTACTATTATTGAATTCTATTTCGAATTTAAGGTTTACAACTAAAAGTGGAGTTATTTTAGAGACATGGGATCGCTATAAAAAGAAATTATCTGAAATTGTTTAGTTAGACATTTTCACCTTCAATAAATAAATAAATAATATATAAATAAATTTTAATTTTAGATATATTTAGTTTTATACATAGAAAATAAAGTAAAATTTATAAAATTCAAAGTAAGAAAAAAATTATCCCCATATTTTCTATACAATTACAGGAATATACATTTTAATATCATGTACAACACTCTTATTTTGAAAAAAATTACACATTCCTCACTTCATTTTGAAAGTCATCATCATAGTAAAAAAATTTAAAGAAATGGGATTTCCGTGGCAATAAATGTATATAAAAAACAACATTGATATATGATGAAATTACACGACTCGGACACGTCAAAAAGTGTGCCACTTTAATCAAATGAATGCTTTGAGATTAGCATTTTGCAATAAATAACATAAGTGTTCAGAATATCGGTTTTTTGAAAAGAACGCTAAAAATAACAACGATAACAGAAAAATCAATTGAGAGACAATAAAATCAGGCAATAAATAAGTAAGATTCACTTATATTGTATATAAGACTATTTTTAATATAAAACCAATAAGTACAAAATTGTTATTACTTTAAACAAAATTACTAAAAGATTCGTTTGGCGAAAAACATTTAAATGCTTTTACAGTAAATAAAAGTTGAACAGGAATTGCAGATTACTTAATCTACAATGGTAAAAAAAGAAGAATTTTTTTTTTTTTTTTTTAAATCACAACAGACTCTGGAACTGTGTTAATGTAAATGTAAAAAACCAATCTTGGAAACTTAAATTTTTATGTAACAAGCAATCCAGAAAAAATGGTTACATTTCAACAAAACAATCGATAAACAGTTACCAAACATTTAACACCTTAATAGCACCATCCCAGTGGCAGAATTTTTTTGGGCCTGGCACTAAGATTTTGCTTTAAGATATTCTTAATTATAACAATTACTAATTTAAAGTAACTGAAACGTTGTGTATACAGAAGAAAGTATAGAATAAAAATGTAAAATTTCAAAAGTAATCATCACACAAATTAAAATTCGTAAATAAATCAAACTATAATAAATTTAAATACATAAATTAAAAATCGTAAAATCCGTACAGAACTGCCAAAATAAAGATCATGAATCACTCGAAAAGGTCTCTTTAAAAAAGAGATACTCAAATAAGCTAATGAAAAATATGGTGTTCTTTAAAGAAAAAAAAATGAAAGAATGAACATTTCAAGACCAAACTATCTTTTAAACTTTCGTGATATCTGATTTTTCTTATTTTATATTATTAACTTGAAATTCTAACTGAAATCAGTTATTACCCATTTTTTTAAAGAAATCTCAAATAAAAATAGAAAAATCATGATTATTTCTTCCTCTCTGATGCACAAGAAAAAAAAATTAATAAAAAAATTCTGCAGAAAAAGAAAAAAAAAATTTTTTCAAAAAATTATGTAGAAAGAAAAGCCAAAAACTTGCCCTTTTCAAATGAAAAATCTTTCTGCAAAAACTAACATTCGGCAACAATTTTGCAGTGTCGCCACAATGCTGCTAAGGAGAGCAGCATTATATAATTACCTTCTTATAACACCATTATAAGAAGCAAAACCTGCAATATTATTAAAAGCACAGGCATAAAAATATAGAACATTTGAGGAAGAAAAAAAATGAAAAAAGCTACGTTTTTCATTAAAAACCTGATAAAACCCAGGTTTTAAAAAAACTGGGCTTTTTCCAAACCCTGGGGTTAGACATAAACAGATTCAATGGATGAAATGATGATGACATTACTTTTCTAATTTTAATTAACAATAAATATAACATACCTCACATTCACCTTTATCCTTTTTAGGAGCTTTTAATGGTTTCTTTTTGCCACCTAAAGTTCAAAGATTGCAGTCAGTGACATACAAGAAATTACATTCAAACACTAGGTACTTGGAGTAATTTAAGTAAAATAAAAAATTTTATTTCCCCATTTATTTAAAAACTCAATAATTTTAAAATTAATTAATAGTTGTGATACAAAATTTTGAGGTTCGGGTTTACAACGCATAAATGTTTATAGATCTAACATTTTTTAAATGCAGTTGTTTCTCAATAATTTTTTTTCAGGGGGCGTAGCCAAATTATGCGACAAAAAATATGCACCCTTTAAGCACTTTTCAAGCAGGGTTCATGATTTTTTTTAAAAAAAATCAGATTTTATTTTTATGCAAATACACTGTAAGAACTTTAATTTATGATTAACAAAACTTTATATAANTAATTAAATTAATATTAAAACTATATTGAAATTTAAAGACTAGTTGAAATGGAGAATTTAAATAATATTTCGTGGGTCTGTATAGATTTTTCTGAGAGGTACGTATTTTGCGAAAATTAAAAATTATATTAAAAAAACAACGCAAATATGTTAAAAATATGGATTTATTGTTTCTTACAAGATACAAAAATAAAATTTTAAGAAAAAAGTATTCTGTGAAATTATTCTACTGTTTTTCCTAAAGTTGAATTTGTGAAGGTACGGCTTAACTAACAGTAGTAAATTTCACTTGAACAGACCACCGTACTTTAACTATTAAAACTAAGTTTCAATTAGCAAACCATAACTTTAAAATAGTGATTTCTTTTTTTTTCTCTTGACTTTTAAAATGACAAAATAAATTTAACAGATTGTGTTTATAAATGTAGTCATTCATCAAAAAATAAATAAATATTTAATCGATGTATTTTTATATTAAAATATTCATTTTTAGTTTTGTATCAAAATACATAAGTTATGCTAAAAAAACTTTTTTTTAAAAATCTATGTACTCATTGGAATTTTTTTTCACAAAATTTCTTTATAGAAAATCTGATAATGTCAAAGATACTGTGAACATATTATGAGAAAAAAATACCAGTTAATAACCCTACTGCTTCAAATAAACTTTGAAAGGGAAGAATGACACTATATCAGGAAAAAAAATATCTGAATTCATCAGCCTTTTTTTTCTTCTATTTTTGGTATATTAGGGTAATTTTTTTTTAATATAACCTCAAGCTTCAGAAATATACATTTTCCACCAATAAAATATAATGTATATTTTAATTCCACGCTTTTTCATTCAAAATGTAGAATTTTAATTAACATTATTTGCATTATTTTTTGAAAAATTTATGTTTAATAATTACTTTCTACAGCTATGCAAGTCTATATTCAGACAACATTAAATGTATACTGCAATCTGTACTTTCAATCTCAAGAATCAATAGATTTTTAAAAATGTAATTTCAAATGTGTTGGAATTTAACACACGCCAAGAAAGAAAGTAATTTCGTTAACTAAAATTAATTAATGCAGCAATTTATTTAAAATAAAATTTAAAACTAAAAATAAAATAATAAAAGTATCAATAATTTAAAACGCTGTTTTTTAACTTTAATAATCAATATATATCAAAAAAATTAGTTGATTTAAATCAACAAACCCTGTTTTCAAGCTCTCATAAAATATTCTTAAGCACTTTTAAAAAATATCATAATAAGGCAGTTGCACAACAAAAATCGAAAATAACCACCTTTAAGCACTTTTTTAAAATGCTACTCACCCTGTTATTGTGTTTAGCTCTCGCGGGCTAATTCAGTAGTCGGTAGGTCACTGATTGAGCCCCCCTAGTTTAGCGGTACCTTCACAAATTCAACTTTACAAAAAGCTGCAGTTTCACAAAATACTTTGAATAAAGCAAGTTCTCATGCAAACCCTGTTCTCGTTGCAATCTAGAGAAAAGAGGAGCATTTCTGCCAGATGTCTTTTACGAAAAGGTAGCATATGTTTGGTCAGATACTGCAATGTGGGAAACCTAACCAGTCGCTCAACCCTTATCAAATTGAGATTTTTTCTTCTTTCACAGTTTTTTTTAAAAATGAAATGACGAGGCTCTCTCTATATAAGCTTTAAAAGAAGGCTAAATTCAGACGTTGTTCGAAACATTTTAACATTTTCTCAAACACTATTGTAAATTTATTCTACCAGACCTTTATTTTATATGAAATTTGCCTTTTTCTCAGTGAAACTCTGTATGACCTAGTTGAAAATGTTCTCATTAATGAAAATAACTTTTAGTACTGTTAAATGCATGTTTTTATTACATTCAGGTTGAAATTTAACTATAGACAATGATTTTTAAGGAATTTCAAAATTGGATGCAATTTTAAGTCCACAACTTTACAGTAGCTTTTTTTATATGGGAAAAAATATACAGAAATTTACCTGTTATAAATGATTTTTATTTGAAGTGATAATTTTTGAAAATATTTTCTTACTTTAACATATATTTGTGTTGATTTCTTATTTTCACAAATTATGTCTAAATTTTCACAAAATAGGTACCTCTCATAAAAACTGTATGCAATGATCTCAGATTATAATTTATTGACAGACCTGAAAAAAAAATAATTCTGATCCGCAGTATGTCAATATTTTTACAGATAGTAACAGCAGAGCCTATCACAAATTCAAAAAAAAAATTTAAATAAATAAACAAAACTCAAGGTCTTCGAATTTTTCCAATAACAAAGTTTGGAAATTTCATATTTAACAATTAAAATATGATCATTATTTTACTTCTAGTTTAATCGTAAACATGATCAAATAACGAACTTCTTATTTAAAAAATATTTATGAAATCATTTCATTTATAAGTGCACAAAAAAGCATTTGTATACTCAAAAGTTTGTTCAATATCATAAAATCATTAAGTCTATTTATTCACTAAAAATCATTGTAAAATTTTATTTACGTTTTCAATTTTGTAAAAGCTAATCTACAATCATAGAGTGTTAAAGCTCATAACAAACCAACAGCTTGAGTTTTTCATAATAATTAAAAGTTACAATTTAAAATTTGAATGTTCTCAAAAACTTCATATACATTAAAAGCCCTGCTATCTATAGGCATATAAACTTTGCTGAACATAATAGTTAGGAAGTAAATAATTATATCGAAATATAAACGTACAGAATTATCCAACTTCATACGTATTATGCAATACTTAAATAATATTTCATAAGTTTTAATTATCAAATAATCACCATTAATCAATACATCTATTAATACAGCCAACAAAATTTAAAATAATATAATACGAAACAACGTGGATCTGAATATGATAACTTCATGAAATTTAAAAGAAGAAATAAATAAACCGGCTTTTCAAATACCTTGTCTACCAGACATTTTTCAAATTAAAACTGCTAACCAATTGATGTAGAAACACAGCTTTAAGTAACAAAAATTTAAAATAGCTGATGCACTTTGCTATGCACGAACAGCCAGAAGAATGATATAGAATTTCTACGAGAATAATGTGAAAAACTGGCTTTCAGCTCCCAACGTAGTGAATTTGAAGAAAAGGGACTGCCAGCGGCTTTTACTCCCCCGTCCCGTCGTCAGCAGTGTTGCCAGATTGGGCTACAAGTAGCGGATTGGGCTACTTTTAAAACTCGCTGCTACACAAAATCGAATTTGGGCTACCCGCTACTTTTTGGGCTACTCATTATTTTTCAAAAGCTACAAATCTTAAAAATGCGCTACTTAGAGAATTTCATGCTACTTATCTCACAGAAATACTTTAAAAAAAATTTTTTTTTCCTTTCCTGTTCTAAAATGAGAGATTCTGTAAAGTCTGCAGTTTCATTATCTTTTTAAAAAATATTTTCGTTTATTTCTGAAAACGCATCAGCTTTAGTTTTGGATTCTTGTTTTGTTTTGCCGCGCAGAGTCCAGAATCTCTCCATACCTATGCTTCAAATCATAGACTCGTGAAAACACAAAGATATAATATGGAAAAATGCACGGCTAGTATGATGAAAAAAAGCTTCAACTCCAACCATTATTAATCGTTTATCATCTGGAAAAATCGCGTGACCTGTAATCTGAGCTAAAACGAAATATTGAATTTGGCGAAATTATGAATGCAGCTCATCGAAATTTAAGTCCCTCAGTGGACAGATCCTTAAGACACGGTTCCCAGCAGATCATTGAAGTCAAACATCACTGGCTGAGCCGCGATGGCTCAAGGAAGAGAGTGTTCGCCTTCCAATGAGGTGAACCGGGGTTCGATCCCGGCGATGGCTGGTCGATACGAATTCCGCATCCTACTTGCACCGACCACAGAGCTTACGTGAAATATCCTCAGTGGTAGACGGATCATGGGTTTGAGTCCCCTTGCCGTGAGGCTAACCGTGAGAGTTCTCGTGGTCTTCCTCTCCATGTAACGCAAATGCCGAATAGTTCCATCAAAAAGTCCTCCACGATGGCGAAATTTCTCCCAATACTTGATCCAGGAGTTCCCTCGTCTTCTGGATTAGATTCAAAAATACAAGGCTACGGAGTTGAACATTAGTAGCCTTAAACCCAAAAAATCGGGTCGGTTGTTCAACAACAGTTATAAAAAAATAAATAAAACATCACTGGCTGCGGTCAGTGTGCGGGTGGGTGACTACGCGGATCAGTCTGTGTAGGGACCGAGGTCGTGCGGTATGGGTCCTCGTTAAACTGTTCTACCGTAAAGTGCTCGACTTTGCGTGCAGGTCGTCGGGCTACTGAAGCGGTGGGTGCCATGACCTCTGCAGGGGATNGCATGGGGTCAGGGGCAGGTTAAGCGTACGCGGGGCCCTAGGCCATTCAAATTTTTGGGGCCCTTAGATTAAATTTTTTTCTCGTATATTTTTTATTTATTCAAATAAAAAAGTATATATTATTCCTATTTTACTATTCGTATTTTACTACTATATATTTAAAATTGATTATTTTTAATAAGAATCATTGTTTTTCTTAATTTTTTTAAGGGGACCTAATGGGTCATCCGCCGTGGTGAATTAACACTCTTATATATAACAAGCACTATTTAGTAATAATTTACAACATTCAAAATGTAGAATTCAGAAGATGCGTCTTAACGAAACACTTTCAGGAGAGGAATCTAAACTGAAACTTAAAAGAGGGAAAGGCGCAATTCGATTGCGTATGCGTGATATGTTATTACTTAAACTTAGCCTCGAACTGCTAAATACACGACGCTGGGCTATTCCACGGTAACTTACGTTACATTCACATAAACTTTATTTCACTGAGAACTTAGTAGGAAACAAATAATACTAATGCACATATTAAAATAAAGTAATTTCTTAAAATTACAATCTAAACCAAAAGGAACCTAATTAATATTTTTCCATTTAAACAGTGTAAGAAACTAAAATTAGGGTAGTAACTTACGCTACCAAAAAGGGAATGGCATAAATTTGTAATGTGCTTGACGGTAAAATTCTGTTTTGATAGAAATGTTAATTGATAAAGATTATATGATGTATTATTTTTCTGACATGTTTAAATATTTCTTATGCCTAGATTTTATTTCAGAAGTTAAATTAAATGTAATTTTTTGAATGGGTAACTTACGTTACAGTAACTTGCGTTACGAAATTCACTTTGTATCTAACTTTTATTCCCAACTTTTATTTTAACCAAACTTTTATTTTATAATAATACACAAATGCAAATTAAGATACTTGAACAGTATAGTGCAAGGGAGAAAAAGTGTACATGAAGTAAATTAAAAAAACATCTTAGTTTACACACTTGATTCACGCATTACTATGCAAACTTATAACTATAAGTTTGGGATATTAATGTCCCAGTTGGACATTAATGTTATAAACTAGTGCAGGGGGCTTAATTTTTTTATACCATGTTTTCTTTCTGGTAAAATCTTTCATCGCTTTTTTTCCAGCTATTTCCAATATATTCCCACAACAGCCATTTAAGGTCCGATATCAGGCTTTACGTTAACATTGAAAAATGACTTCACGCTTCCTAATTTTAAAGGGTTTTAGACGGCGATTTTCCTCATTTTAAGCTCTTCCGAACACTGATTTTAGATACGCATACATAGCCTCATTGTGTACCCCCTAGTTGACCTATAATTATTTCCTCAGGTAAGGTACACTATTACCCGATAATATAATACGTGGTCCAATTAAAATATTATGGGTCAATATTAAGGTCTGATATCGCGCCTTGCGTTAGTTAACATTGAAAAATGTCTTTGAATTTTTAAAGCTCCTTAGAAGGTGAATTTCCTCATTTTAAGCATTTCAGAACACTTATTTTAGATATACATACATTATAAAATACAGGGCCACATTGTGTGCCCCCTAGTGGTCAATAATTATCTTCTTTGGTAGATACACTTTTCCTAGGTAATATAATACGTGGCCCAATTAAAATATTATAGATTAATATTAAGGGCCGATATCGGGCTGTTTGTTAACATTGAAAATTGTCTGGGAATTTACTTGTTTTAATGCACTATTTTAAATATACATAGTGTACCCCCTAAGGGATCTATAATTATTTCCTGTGGTAGGATACACTATTACCCTGTAATATAACACGTGGTCCAATTAAAATATTATGGGCCAAGTAAAAGGTCCGATATCGGGCTTTACGTTAACATTGAAAAATGACTTCGCTATAGAAGCTGATCTATTGCGACAAATTAACTTCCAAGATATTATCAAAGACTTTGATAGATATTATCAAAGACTAAAAATAGTAGGAAAAAACTGTTTAGATATACATAGTGTAAACCAAAATAAATATTTTACCTGACGCTTTTAAATTTTTTTATGAAATATTTTTTCTAACGTTAGAGAATGCCATGCATAATCTCTATAATGTTTCATTAGATTTTTTTCATATAAGTATTAGTATAAATTTATGACCTCAAAACATATTTCCCCACTTTATTTTATACAAAGAATTTTGGAATATATATCATCAGTTAGCTATTATAGAACACACACTGTGTGAATCTAAATAGTTTTAAGTGCCAGTGAAACTTAAAAAAAAAAGGGGGTTTATTTTTTAAAAATTTTCTTAATTTCATTTTGAATGGAAAATGTTTTCACAAAATTTGTAATTAGCAATTATGAATAATTTTTTAATACTATTTTAATTTTTTTGTTTTAATTTAATTTTCTTTTAAAAAAACTTGTTTTTATATTTTGAATTAACTTGCGATTTACTAGTGCAGGGATGGGCAAACTTTTTTGGTCGAGGGCCAAAAATCAAGAAAAAAAATGTTTGGTGGGCCAAGTAAGATCTTCAAAATTTAAGAAAGAAAAAAAAGCGATATACAAGTTTTAATTTAAATATTTAGTGGGATGAAGGAAATTGCGATTTCATTTCTAAAAGTTCCTTATATTAAGGTTCGAAGTGAGATGTGCTTATTTTAAGGAACAAGGCTAAATCCTTTTCTGTTAGTCTACTTCTGAAATAATTTTTTCTAAGGTTCATAATTGAAAACTCTTGTTCACGTATATAAGATTAAGCTAACACAGCACTGATTTTCTGGGCGTGAAATTTTAAATTTTGGAAACTAGCTTTTGGTAATGATTTGTCAAACTTAGGCATATTTAGAAACAACTGCTTCAGATGATTGTTAGATTGTCCGCTCTTTGGAGCGTAAAATGCGCAGTCTGCCAAATGTGAAGTACAATTTACCTATATTAGATTCCATAAGTCAGCTCCTCGAGAAAGACAAACGCTAGTTGGAGCCAATCTACGGCTATTCTATAAAGAACTTCTGCTTTCAACATTTTACCAGTAGAAGCTGTCCTGTGCTAACTATTTCCATCAATTTATGTTTTGTAGAACAAAAATAGAGAAAGTAAAAATGTCATCAGTACTTTGTTAATAAAGGAAAAACAGAAATAATTTTAAACGTAGTCGACAATAAAATGGATGTATATCGTTTATATTTGCCGCTGATCGGCAAATAAAAATTCTATCCGCGGGCCGGATAAAATCCTCCGGCGGGCCACAGTTGGCCCGGGGGCAGTAGTTTCCCCATCCCTGTACTAGTGGATATATTTTTAATTGCAAGATGGGATCGCCAAATTATTTTCAGTGGTTAGGGCCACAAGAGGTCTTAATCCGGCCCTGATAGTAAGCAAAGCTGAATTCTCATTGAAGTATAAAATTTAAAATAGTACCTATAATTAAAACAAAATGCAAAAAGAAGAGAAAAAAAAAACATTTCGGAAGTTATACTAAGATGGAATTTTCAGTCAAGTCGAAAAACATAAAAAAAATCTGAATAATTTATCCATTATGTTCAAATTGAACAATCAATTATGAATTTAAGAAATTACGAAGCTAAAAGAGATTTATGAATGAATGAATTATAAATGAATTAAAGTTAAAGCAATAAATTTCTACTTAACTGAATGAATCACTTCAATTAGATGCATTTTGCAGTAATTGTTAATATTTAATATGTTTACAGAAACCGAAAAAATAGTAATTACGATAAACACATTAATAAAAAATGAAACATTCAGCAAAAGTAAACGTTTATTATTCCATTTATTTTCCAGC